ACCTTGGGAGGCCAAGGCAGGTGGATCATTTGAGGTCAGGAGTTCAAGACCAGCTTGGCCAACATGATGAAACCCCATTTCTACTAAAAATACAAAAATTATCCAGCCAGTAGTGGTGTGCACCTGTAATTCCAGCTACTCAGGAGGCTGAGGCAGGAGAATCGCTTGATCCTGAGAGGTGGAGGTTGCAGTGAGCCAAGATCACACTGCTGTACTACAGTCTGGGTGACAGAGTGAGACACTGTCTCAAAAAAATTTTAAAAAAAGGAGAGGAAAATTATAAATTATAAGGAGTCAATCCACCAAAAAGACATGGCAACCCTAAATGTGTATGCATCAAACAACAGAGCTGTAAAACAAAATCTCATAGAACTAAAAGGAGAAACAGATAAATCCACAGTTATAACTGGAGAGTTCAACACTCCTCTCTCAAAAAGTAACAGAACAACTAAAGGGAAAATCAGCAAGAATATGGAAGAACTCAGCAACATCACTAACCAAGAAACTAATTAACATTGATAGAACACTATTAAACATTCACAGCCTGGGCACAGTGGCTTACTCCTATAATTTCAGCACTTTGAGACATTGAGGCAAGAGGATCACTTTAGATCAGGAGTTTGAGACCAGCCTGGCCAATATGGTGAAACCCTGTCTCTACTAAAAATACAAAAATTAGCCTGGCATGGTGGTACACACCTGTAGTCCTAGCTTCTTGGGAGGCTGAGGCAGGAGAATCACTTGAGCCTGGGAGGTGGAGGTTGCAGTGATCCAAGATCGCAGTGATCCTAGATCGCACCACTGCACTCCAGCCCAGGCAACAAAGTGAGACTCTGTCTCAAAAAAAAAAAAAAAGTCTCCATCTCAAGAAAAATAAATCACAAAATACATAGTCTTCCAAATGCCCACAGAACATATTTCAAAACACATCATGTCCTGAGTCATAAAAGAAGCCTCAGTAAATGTAAAAGATGTGTTCTGTGACCACAATGAAATCAAAGAAGAAATCAATAACATAAAGATAAAAGAAAAATATTCTAACTTTTAGATTTTAACATATCTCTAAATAATCCATGGGTCAAAGAGGATGTCTCTAAGGAAATTAAAAAAATACATTGTATGAGGTAAAATTTTTAAAAAATTAATTTAAAAAATAACACTAACACAGATCTCTACCAGAAAACACAATAGGTCTTCAAAAAGTTCATGAAAAAAATGCATATTATACAAAAAGCAATGCATGAATTTAAATAAAGTTTACATCAAAATAAACTTGTACTAACTTGTTATAACACATCTGTGTAGGGTCTAGTTTAAGCCACAAAGAAGAATAAAACATCCGTTTGAAAACAGTCACGATCAGAGCAACATAAATCCTGCTAAAACTGAAGCAAGAACAAACGTCGAATTTGTGGTGAAGCTTGGGTGGAAGAATAGTAAAATCACTGACACTTTATGAAAAGTTTATGAGTACAATGCCTCAAAGAAATATGTAATGTACAAATGGATAGCTCATTTTAAGAAGGGATAAGATGAAGTTGGAGATAAAGCCTGCAGTGGCAGGCCATCTGTATCATTTTACAAGGAAAAAATTAATCCTGTTCATACCTTAATTGAAGAAGGCCAATGATTAACAGCAGAAACAAGAGCCAATACCATACACATCCCAAATGGTTCAGCTTACACACTTCTGACTAAAAAATTAAAGTTGACCGGGCGCGGTGGCTCACGCCTGTAATCCCAGCACTTTGGGAGGTCGAGGCCGGTGGATCACGAGGTCAAGAGATCGAGACCATCCTGGTCAACATGGTGAAACCCCGTCTCTACTAAAAATACAAAAAATTAGCTGGGCATGGCGGCACGTGCCTGTAATCCCAGATACTCAGGAGGCTGAGGCAGGAGAGTTGCCTGAACCCGGGAGGCGGAGGTTGCGGTGAACCGAGATCGCGCCATTGCACTCCAGCCTGGGTAACAAGAGCAAAACTCCGTCTCAAAAAAAAAAAAAAAAATTAAAGTTGAGCTATCTTTCTGCTCAATGGGTGCCAAAACCATTGCACCCTGATCAGCTACAGATAAGAGCTGAGTTTCCATGGAAATTTTAAACAATAGGATCAAGATTCTGAATAATTTCTTTGGAGAATTCTAACAGGAGATGAAACATGGCTTTAGCAGTATGATCTTGAAGACAAAGCACAATCAAAGCAATGCTACCAAGAGGTGTAAATGGCCTAGTCAAAGTAAAAGCAGGCTGGTCAAAAGCAAAGTTCCCAACACACAAAAAAAGTAAAGGTCATGGCAACAGGTTTTGGGGATGCTCGAGGCATTTTGCTCATTGACTTTCTGGAGGGCCAAAGAATGACATTTGTTTATTATAGGAATGTTTTAAGAAAGTCAAGCTTTAGCAGAAAAATAACAAGGAAAGCTTCACTGTAGAGTCCTTCTCCACCACAACAATGCTCATGCTCATTCCTCTCATTAAACAAGGGCAATTTTGCAAGAATTTTGATGTGGGAAATCACTGGGCATCCACCATACAGTCCCAATTTGGTCATTTCTTTTTTACTTTTTTTTTTTTTTTTTTCGAGATAGGGTGTCACTGTCACCCAGACTGCAGTAGAGTGGCATGATCTCAGCTAACAGAAATCTCTGCCTCCTGGGTTCACGCAACTGTCCTACTTCAGCCTCCTGAATAGCTGGGATTACAGGCATGTGCCACCACACCCAGCTAATTTTTGTATTTTAATAGAGATGAATTTTCACCATGTTGGCCAGGCTGGTCTTGAACTTCTAATCTCAAGTGATCTGCCTGCCTCAGCTTCCCAAAGTGCTGGGATTACAGAGGTGGATCACCATGCCTGGACCCATTTGATTATTTCTGACTTTTCTTTATTTCCCAATCTTAAAAAATCTTTAAAGAACATCCATTCTTCTTCAGTTAATAATGTAAACAATTCTTCATTGACATGGTTAAATTCTTAGGACCCTCAGTTCTTTAGAGATAAACTAAATGGCTGGTATCATCCCTTATAAAAGTGTCTTGAACTTGGCAGGGCCAAGATGGCTGACTAGAAGCAGCAGTGGTTAGAGGCTCCCACAGAGAAGAACCAAAACAGCATGTGAATTCTGCACTGGTAATCAAGGTATTGAGGTTCTATCATAAGGACTGACTAGGCGGTTGGTGTGACCCACAGAGAGCAAGAAAAAGCAGGGTGGTTCATCAGCCTACCTGAAAGCCATATGGAGCAATGGCAAACCCACCCCTAGCTAGAAGGCAGTGAGTGAACATGCTACCTAGCCTGGGAAACCATGCTCTTTCCACAGATCTGTGCAACCTACAGATCAGAAGATTCCAGTCTTGAGCCCACACCACTAGGGCCTTGGGTCTCAACTACAGAGCTGCACAAATTCTCAGCAGCCACTCTGCTAGAATCTGCCTAAGACTAACGAGTTGTGGGGGCGGGGGCGGGGGGAGAAGCAGCCATGATCACTGCAACTGCCTGCTGCCTAAGGCAACTGAGCTCCCTGCAAGAGGGATGGCAGCTATCACTGCAGCTGCTACCTAAGACACTGATCTGGGGGTACGGGGAAGGGTGGCAGCCACCAAAACAGATACATAAACCAATGGAACAGAATAAAGATCTCAGAAATAAGACCACACATCTGCAACCATCTGATCTTCAACAAACCTGAAAACAACAAGCAATCAGGAAAGAATTCCCTATTTAATAAACAGTGCTGGGAAAACTGGCTAGCTATATGCAGAAAACTGAAACTGGATCCTTTCCTTAAACTTTATACAAAAATTAACTCAATATGGATTAAAGACTTAAATATGAAACCTAAAACCATAAAAACCCTAGACGAAAATCTAAGAAATACCAGTCAGGACACAGACATGGGCCAAAAGCAAAAACTGACAAATAGGATCTAATTAAACTAAAGATCTCTTCACAGCAAAAGAATTATCATAAGAATGAACAGGCAACCTACAAAATGGAAAAAAAAAATTTGCAATCTACCCATTTGATAAAGGTCTAATATCCAGAATTTACCAGGAACTTAAACAAATTTACAAGGAAAAAATAGAAACAACCCCATTAAAAAGTGGGCAAAGGACATGGGCAACACTTCTCAAAAGAAGACATTTATGCAGCCAATAAACATGTGAAAAAAAGTTCAACATCACTTATCACTAGAGAAATGCAAATCAAAACAACAACGAGATACCATTCACACCAGTCAGAATGTTGATTATTAAAAAGTCAAGAAACAACAGATACTGGTGAGTCTGTGGAGAAATAGAAATGTTTTTACATTGTTGGTAGGAATGCAAATTAGCTCAACCATTGTGGAAGACAATGTGGCAGTTCCTCAAGGATCTAGAACCAGAAATAACATTTGACCCAGCAATCCCATTACTGAGTATATACTCAAGGGGATGTAAATCATTCTCTTATGTGGATACATGCACACATATGTTTATTGCAGCACTATTCACAATAGCAAAGACATGGAATCAACCCAAATGCCCATCAATGATAGACTGGATAAAGAAAATGTGGTACATATACACCATGGAATACTATGCAGCTATAAAACAGATTGAGATCATGTCCTTTGCAGGGACATAGATGAAGCTGGAGGCCATCATCCTCACCAAACTAACACAGGAACAGAAAACCAAACACCACATGTTCTCACTCTTAAGTGGGAGCTGAACAATGAGAACACATGGACACAGGGAGGGGAACAACACATGCCTGGGCCTGTCATGGAGGTAGGGGCAGAGAGAGCATCAGGAAAAACAGCTAATGCATGTGGGGCTTTATACCTAGGTGATGGGCTGATAGGTGCCGCAAACCACCATGGCACATATTTACCTATGTAACAAGCATACACATTCTGTACATGTATTGTGGAACTTAAAAAAAACTTAAATTTAAAAAATTTAAAAAGTGTCTTGAACTTTATGGAGTTTATGTTGAGAAATAAAGTTGATAATTTTTATCTTCTAATTCCATTTTCCATGAACTTTTGGAAGTCCCCTCATAGGAAGGTAATCCAGCTAAGTAGAAGGAACACTTCTCAATGTATGCCATGAAGATAGTGTCACCCTGATGCCAAAACCAAAGACAATAGAGAAATAAAAAGAAAATACAGACTGATAACTTTCATAAATTTAGATTTCAACATTCTTTTCAAAATACTAGCAAATAAAATTTTACAATGAATAAAAAGAATCATACACCATGACCAAGTAGGTTTTATTTCATATATTCAATATTTGAAAATCAGTCATTATAATCTACCATATTGATGGGCTAAAGAAGAAAAGACATATGTTCATAATGATCATATCAATAAATGCAGAGAAACATTCGACCAAACTTCAATATCAATTCATGGTTTTAAAAAAACTGAGAGAAATAGAAATAGAGGAGAACTGAGAACTTTCTCAACTCAGTAAGAAGCATCTATGAAAAACCTATAGACAGATTTATTTTTAATTGTGAAGGACTGAATGCTTTTATCCCAATATCAGGAGCAAGGCCAAAATATCTGTTCTCACCATTCTGTTTCAACACAGCACTGGAAGCTCTGCGTGATGCAATAACGCAAGAAAAGTAAATAAGAGGAATGCAAATGAGAAAGAAATAAAACTGCTTTTATTCATGTATGACACAACTGTGTACTTTAAAATCCCAAAGAATGGACAAAGAAAAACACTTCTAGAATAAATAAATTTAGCAAGGTCACCGAAAAAAAGATGAATATAGAAAAGTAAATTGTATATCCATATACTAACAATTAAAAAATCAATACCAAAATGTAAAATATAATACCATTTACATTAACTTAAAAAGGATACCTAGGTGTAAATGTAAAAAAAATGTACAGGACTTGTGTTCCAAAAACTACAAAAACTACACAACACTGATGAAAGATTTTTAAAATCTAAATAAATGGAGAGACATGCTGTGCTCGAGTTGGAACACTCAAAAAGTCATGGTGAGATACTGGTTTTTCTTGAATTGATAAAATTTTACACAATTTCTACCAAAATGCCAGCAAGATTTTCTGTGGCTATAGATGAGATTACTGTAAAATTTATATAGAATAGCAAAGGAACAAGTATAATTAAAACAATTTTGAGAAACAAGAAAAAAGTAGGAAAAATCAATGTACTCTAAGATTTTTACTAAATAGCTACAGTAATCAAGACTGTGTATAATAATTAGATGAATAGACATGTAAATCAATGGAACAAGATAAATAATCCAAAAATATGTCCACCTGAATTTTGACAAAGGAGCAAATGCAACTAACCAAAGGAAAGATAGCCTTCCAAAAAATGGTGTTGGAGCAACTGGACATCCACTGGCAAAAAATAAACTTCAATCTAAATCTCACATCTTATACTAAAATCGATTCAAAATTTATCACAAACTTAAAAGTAGCATAACATTCTAAAGCTTTTAGGAAACAACATAAAGGAAAATATTCAGGATCTAAGGCTAGGGAAAGGGCTCTTAGACTTGACATCAAAAGCATAATCTAAAAAATGAAAAACTGATAAGTTGAACTTCTTAAACATTTTTAAACTTTTACCCTGTGAAAAAACATATTGCAAGCATAAAAGATAAGGCTAAAATTTTGGAGAAAATGTTTGCAAGCACATATCTGACAAAGCACTTATATCTAGAATATATTTTTAAAAACCACTCAAAACTCAACAGTAAAAAATCAAACAGCCCAATTAGAACCTGGACATGAAAAGACATTTTACCAAAGAAAATATGCAAGATCGCAAAGAAATACATGAAAATATTTTCAATGCCAGTAGCAATTAGGGATCAACAATAAAGCTACAATTAGGTATTACTAGATACCTATCAGAATGACTAAGATAAAATGTTCAAAAAGCCAAATGTTAGAAAAAAATTAGAGAAACCAGATTACTCATACATTCTGGTGATAATGCAAAACACTATAGCCACTCTGATAAAGAGCATGGCAGTTTATTCAAAAAAAAAAAAAAAAAAAAACCAACTACCCATGGACCTCTCATATAATACAATAATTGCATTTTCCGGCATTTATTTCCTAGAAGTAAAACCTTGTGTTCACACAAAAACCTTTACACAAATGGCAATACAAGTTTCATTCATAATATTCCTAAATTTAAAATATCCCAGATGTCCTTCAGTGGATGAATAATAAATAAACAGTAGAATATCCATATAATGGAATTATATTAATACATTCAATAACCCAGATGAAGTTCCAGTGAATTATGCTGAATGAAAATGACTAATCCCAAAATGTTTCATATTGCATGATTTATTTATATATCATTCTGAAAATAACAACATTTTTAAAGTGGAAAACAGATTAGTGGTTGTAAGAGTTAAGAAAGAGGTCTGCCAGGGGAGAAAGTGAGTATGAGCATAAAAGGTCAGTATAAGGAATCCCTGCAGTAATGGAAACGTTCTGGACCTTAACTGTATCAATATCAATATTTTGGATGTAATATTGTACTATAGTTTTGGAAGGTGTTACCATTGTAGGAAAGTGTATAAAGAGTACAGAGGATTACCATTTCTTATCATTGCATGTGAGCCTACAATTATGTTAAATAATAAGTGTGTTTGTCTGATTTGCATTGCTATAAAAGAATACCTGGCCGGGCACGGTGGCTCAAGCCTGTAATCCCAGCACTTTGGGAGGCCGAGGTGGGTGGATCATGAGGTCAAGAGATCGAGACCATCCTGGTCAACATGGTGAAACCCCGCCTCTACTAAAACTACAAAAAATTAGCTGGGCATGGTGGTGCATGCCTGTAATCCCAGCTACTCAGGAGGCTGAGGCAGGAGAATTGCCTGAACCCAGGAGGCGGAGGTTGCGGTGAGCCGAGATCGTGCCATTGCACTCCAGCCTGGGTAACAAGAGCGAAACTCCGTCTCAAAAAAAAAAAAAAAAAAAAAAAAAAAACAAGAATACCTGAGTTCAGGTACTATATAAAGAAAATAGATTTATTTGGCTCATGGTTCAGCAGACTGTACAGGAAGCATGGTGGCAACATCTACTTCTGATGGCCTCTTCTTCCTGAGGCCTGAGGAGCTTTTATTCATAGCAGAAGGTGAAGGGGGAGCAGGCATATTACATGGCAAGAGAGATGCCAGGCTCCTGTAAACAAGTAGCTACTATGTGAACTAAGGAAGTGAGAATTCATTCATTACCAGAGGGAACACACCAAGACATTCATGAGGGATCCACCTCTATAACGAAAATACATCCCACTAGCCCCCACCTCCAAAATTGGGGACCACATTCCAACATCAGATTTGGAGGATACAAATATCCAAACCACATCAACAAGTTTAATTATAAAATCAGAAGTGAAGACAAGAGTCATGTACAAGGAAGCTTCAAACTTTTGTTCCCCAACAGAAACATCAACAAAACAAAAGAAAATGAAACAGAAGCAATCTGATTAAACTTCGTAGGAGCTGTGAAAAACAGTTATAGGTTTACAACAACCCAGTAAATGCCCAATCAAGAAAAAATCTATGAACATATTCAGACTGTAAGAAAAAAAAAATCCAGCCAGAGCTGTGGCTCATGCCTGTAATCCTAGCAATTTGGGAGGCCAAGGCAGGAGGTTTGCTTGGGAGTTTGAGACTAACCTGGGTAACATAGTCAGACTCCATCTCTATAAAAAAGTGAAATGAAAAACTAGCTGAGTGCAGTGGTACACACGTATAGTCCCAGCTACTCAGGAGGCTGATGGAATTGAGGGAAGAAATAGATAACTGAACAATAATAGTTGGAGACTTCACTATTCCATTGTCAATACTGAATACAACAACTATGCAATGATCAACAATGAAATCAAAGACTTTAACAACACTATACGCAAGTTATACCTAACAGCCATCTATGGAGAATTCCACCCAATAACAGCAGAATACACATTCTATTCAAGTACATATGGCACAATTTCCTCAACTGACCATATGCTAGGCCATAATGCAAGCCTCAACAAATGTAAAAGTATTGAACTCATAAAAGAATAAACAATCACAATGAAAATTAGAAATTAATAACAGAAATAAATTTGGGAAATGCATCCCATTGATGTTAGACAAATGTCCAAACACTGTAAAGGCTTTATTGCATTTCTTATATTCATAAAGATTCTTACCAATATGAATTCTCTAATATGTAGTAAGACAGAATTAACTCTATATATTTTCCTACATTTCTTACATTCATCAAGTTTCTCATCAGTTTGAATTCTCTGATATTGAGCAATGTGTCCAGAAACAATAAAGGCTTTACCACATTCTTTACATTCATAAAGTTTGTCACCAGTATGAATTATCTGGTTCTCAGAAGAACTCAAATCAGATCAAAGACCTTATGTTCCTTACATTCATGGAATTTGGCACTTATATGAATACTCTGACGTTGAGTACATTGTCTGGATACAAGAAAGGCTTTATTGCATCTCTTATATTCATAGTTTTTCACCATATGAATTCTCTGATATATAGTAAGGATTAAAATTTAAATATCTCTTCACAGTTCTTATATTTTTTCAGGTTTTTCAACAGTATGAATTCTCTTACAATGAGTGACTTACCTGCACACAAGAAAGGATTTCTGACATTCCTAATATGAATGAAGTGTATAATCAGTATGAATTCTAATTTACAGAATAAACTCAACTCATTCTAAATACCTTCCCACATTCCTTATATTCATAGAATTTCTTACCAGTATGAATTCTCTGGTGTTGACTAAATAGTCCACACAAATAATACCTTTCGCACATTCTTAACATTCTTAAAGTTTTTAATCAGTATGAATTCATGATGTCTGTGATAAGGACTAAATTATATTGTAATGTCTTCTCACATTTTTTACATCGATTGTATTTTTCACAGTATGAGTTCTCTGATGCCGAGTAAATTGATATCCACTACTGGTCATCTCAAATTGTGGTCACACCACTTCTAAACAGAACAAATTTTCTTTCGATGTTTAAGTAATATAATATTACTTCTGTTTATAATATAATAATAGTTTCTGGCTTTTATAAATTACATGATACAAAATTTGAAATTTCTATAAGCAGTTACTATTGTAGATAATAATTTAAGTAAAGTCCTCCTCTCAAGCATGCTCTCACAATTTCAGTTATTTCTGAAACAGAGGCTTCAAGGATACTTGTATTACTTCTTAATCTGATTCCTTAATTCCTGGATTACATCTCTAGTGTCTGCTCTCCAGAATTCTGGGTCCAAAGGCTGTTGTGGTGATAGAAGATTATCCAGAAATAGATTGGCATAGCTCTAATGACAGTCTCATTTAAAAAAAATTTGCTGGCTTATGCCCTCTGGGTAAATGTGAAAAAAAAATTTTTGCTAGTAAGCTAGGTTTTTGTTATAGACAGTGTGTCTCACCTGCTACCCTAGCTGGAGTGCAGTGGCATGATCACAGCTTGCTGCAGCCTTGAACTATTGGACTCAAGTGATCTTCTCATCTTCAGCTTCTGAGTAGCTAGGACTACAGGCACATGCCATAGGCACTCAGCTAATTTTTTTTTATTTGTAGAGATGGGATCTTGCTATATTTTCCAGGCTGGTCTTAAATTCCTGGGCTTAAGCAATCCTCCTGCCTTGGCCTCCTAAAGTGCTGGGATTACAGGTGTGAGTCACCACACCCACCCAGTAAACTAGTTTTGTTCAGCTTACTATTTAAGCCCTTCCAATAATTTTGTTAGCACATAATTTTCTGTGTGAACCTCCTCCCAATTAAAAGTAACTGCAATTGTTTGATATTGGCAGTGAACATTAATCAGAGATTGACTGTGTAACAAACTAAAAGATAAAAATCAAATAATATGTGAATCTCAAAGTGACCAAGTTAGGATAAAAAAAATCAAATAATAAAGAAAAGCATTTGTATTAATTTCACAGGGCTGCTGTAACAAATTACCACAAACATTGTGGCTTAAAACAAATTTATTCTCTCACAGTTGTAGAGGCCATATGTCTGAGATCAGAGTGTTAGCAGAGTTATCCTTCCACCAAAAGGCTCTAAGAGAGAATGTTCCTTCTCTGTTCCAGCTTCTAGTGGCTGTTGACATTCCTTGTAGCTGTATCAGCCCAATATGTTCCTCTATATTAATTTGCTTCTCTTCTCTGTGTCTCTTTCTATGTCTTATTTGGACACTTATCATTAAATTTAGTTCCAACCTTGACAATCCAGAATAATCTCATTTTAAGATGATTAACTTAATTACATCTGCAGAGACCCCTTTTCCAAATGACGTCACATTTCCAATAAGGTCCATATATTAGGACACCACATATCTTCTTGGAGGCCAACATTAAACAACTAGAGCATTTTATAAGGTTCGATACATAATTCTGATCAAAAATAACTTCTAGGAAAATTCCACTACTTGGTAAAACTACACATCAAAAACCTATAGTAGATATTAACTTGATATAGAAAATTTAAATATATTACCTTGAAAACTGAAAATAAAATATGGATGCTTGCCATCATCTCTTCTGTTTAAGATGGTACTATAGGTCCTGGCCCCAATACTATAACACAAGAAAAAAGTAGGTCAAGTATGATGACTCAAGCCTGTAATCTAAGCACTATGGGAGGCCAATGCAGGAATATTGCTTGAGCCCAGGACTTTGAGACCAGCCTGAGCAACATAGGGAAACCACATCTTCACCAAAAAAAGAAAATCTTAAGTTATCCAGGTGTGTATGCACACATCTGTGGTCCCAGCTACTTGGGAGGCAGATGTGGGAGAACTGCTTAAGCCCAGAAAGTCAAGGCTGCAGTGAGCCATGATTGCACTACTGCACTCCAGCCTGAATGACAGAGTAAGACCCTGAAGAAAAGAAAAAGCTATAAAGCATCTATGAATTAACTAACAGTACACAAGATCTCAATGAGGAAAGATACAATATGCTTTTACCATAGAGAGAGATGGCTGGATATGGTGGCTAATTCCTATAATGTTGGCACTTTGGGAAACCCAGACAGTAGCATTGCTTGAGCTCAGGAGTTTAAGACCAGCCTAGATAACTTAGTGAGACCCCATCTCTACTAAAAATTTTAAAACTTATCCAGGCATCGTGGCACATGTCTGTTGTTCTAGCTACTTGGGAGGCTGAGGCAGAAGGATCACTTAAATCCAGAAGTTTAAGGTTACAGTGAGTTATGATTATGCCACCTCACTCCAGCCTGTACAACAGAGCAAGGCCCCAACTCCAAACAAAAGCTATAAAGCATCTATGAATTAACTAACAGTACACAAGATCTCAATGAGGAAAGATACAATATGCTTTTACCATAGAGAGAAGATTCTAAATAAATAGAGACACATTCTATGTGCCATTCTAAAAGCATCAATTGGATGCCATTAATTAATATGAAATATAATCACTCCAAATTAATCCATAATTAAAAATCATTGACATCAAAATTCCAGTGTTTTGTTTGTTCTTTTTGTTTGTTTGTTTGTTTGTTTGTTTTTTGAGACAGAGTTTCACTCTTGTTGCCCATGCTGGAGTGCAATGGTGTGATCTTGACTCACTGCAACCTCCACCTTCTGGATTCAAGCAATTCTCCTGCCTCAGCCTCCCCTGTAGCTGGGATTAAACGTGCCCACCACCATGCCCAGCTAATTTTTGTATTTTTAAGTAGAGATGGAGTTTCACCATGTTGGCCAGGCTGGTCTCAAACTCCTGACCTCAGGTGATCCACTGACCTTGGCCTCCCAATGTGCTGGGATTACAGGCATGAGCCACCATGTTCAACCTCCAGTGGTATTTTTAAGATGATAGATAATCTAAAACTTTAAAAGAAGCATAAAGATCAATAAATTTCATGTCAGCATCATAAATGAAGTGGAAGATGTATAAAAAGATACATATACATATACTCATTTGATGGTAATTATATGTATCTATATATATATGATGTGTGTGTGTGTGTGTGTGTGTGTGTGTGCGCTATGTGTGCATATACACCATCATAATCAAAGATGGACTCCAAGTATATTAAACACAATGTGGAGGTAAAGCAATAATGTTGATATGTTGATAGAAGGAAATAGAGGGTGATAACTTTAAAACATAGGGGCAAGAAAGGACTTTTAAAATGAAACTTCAAACATAAGGCAAAAACATGTACATAAATCTCATTATAATTATTTAGTCAAGAGTATGTATTAAGCACTTCTTCTGTGCTAGGCACTAAGGCTGTACATTAATAATGCATACAAATTATAAATACCACTCCTCACTAAAAGGAAACAGGGCTTTTTGGAGAAATTGCTCACCTCAGGATAGTGGTGACAAAAGTGCATGATGAAACTAATATCCTTTTTTCTTCAGAAAGTAAAAAACTGCTCAAAAATTATGAGAATACTTGTAAAAACACCACAGGATACATGTGAAGGGTCTCCCACTGGTAAAATACAATACAATTTTAATACTGCAATGAATGCTGACAGAAATGCATTATAACAAAATGTATAAAATAGAATCCTTGATATTAATGACCAATAATGGATACTAATGAATAAACTAATATGAATAGATATAAATATGGCTTAAACAAGGGTGGGGGAAATGAGAACTTTTTTACGAAAGAATGC